GCCACCGCTGTCACCGCTCTGCCGCGCCCTTGCCCGGACTGGGCTCCCCGGCTGTCCAGAGGCGCGGGCACTGCCAGGCCTGCAGAGGCATCTCAGAAGCCTGCAAGTGGGGACCCAGCCTGAGAAACCGCAGGGACGATCTCCAGTGCACATACCGTGCTTCTAGTCTACACGGTTTGCAGAGGCAGTGTCTTCCCATCAACCTAAGGGTTCTTTGTCACATGGGAGTGGAAGATGGCGATGGGTCTGGAGCGGCCGTGCCAGGAGACAGCGCGACCCTGAGAAGTGTGCGCTGTGATACCAGAGTACTATTTGCATTTCCAAGAGCAACAAAAAACGAATAAATCTTTCAACAACGAACCTACAATGACAAACAAGCAACAACAGGTTCAAGGTTTTAGGGCCGACACAAAAGAAGACTCCTGAGAGTGCCCAAGCCCTGCTGCAGGTTTGAGCGAGCAGCCCGAGACAACAAAGGCCAAGTAAATCAGTAGAGACAACACAGAAATGGAGTGGAAGGCGCCGGACTGGCTCAACTCTGCGAGCTCTGTGAGTCACCCCCAGCCCAGCCCCACTTGCGTGGCGAAGCCCGTCTGCTCCCCGCCCGCCTGGCTCCTGCCTACCACACCAGGCCAGGCACCGGCAACAGAGCTGCCTCCATTTTCTCGGGTGGGGGCGGAGACGGCCGGCTTAGTGCAGGCAGGCCAGCCATCTCTGCTTGGCGCGGCTCCTCACTGAGGCGTGCCACTTGCTTACCTTGACGCGGGTTACCCCAGAGCCTGTGGACTGGCCTACAATCCCACTCTCCCCGCGGATCTCTGACGGGGCTGGTTCTGTGGGGAGCCCCCGGCCAGCGTCAGGAGGGCAGCAAAGAGGAGCCCGCCCAGATCGTCTCTCCACCACACCCTGGGCGTCGGCCCCAGGTAAACTCCCTGTTTCCGGAAGGCAGATTCCATCTCTGAGGGCCTCAGTTTGGAAGAACCCCTAACTGATTTCTGGTGGGGAGAGGGGAGCCTGGAGTGCTCTGGAGCTATATTGAAGCTACTGGAGAGCTCTCCCGGAGGGCTGACCCACACTAGGGGGAGTCAAAGAGGAACTGTGTGCTGATGGACCCTCACCCAAGGAGTTCACACTCAGCAGTGGGAGAGACTGGACACCTGCTGGGCAGGGCGGGGCAGNCAGCAGCTTCAGCTTTTGTGACGTGACCAATGTTCACAGCAAGGGACTGCCAGCTGGAAAGAAGCAGGACACTTCATTGGCAGAGCGGGGATTTTCCAAGTTAGAAATAGATTAATGGAACAGGAAGAAACACTTGTGAAAAGACATTTATCCTTTTTGCATTGGTAGGCTGCCAAAAAGGTGGTGTGCGGCCTGCACTGTGGAAGCTGGCTGGTTCGGACTCGGCTCTCTGCAGCGCGCTACCGACCGTGCAGTGCCTCGGAGCCCAGCCCAGCCCCTCCGGCTCAGGAAGCGTGGATTCGGTCCTTTAAGACATCTGTGCGTGAACGCTTTGGTAAGGTTGTGGTCACTGCTGACAAAGGGAAATGTCCCCACCTG